TAAGCTAATTTGAACTTCAATGAAAACTATATTCACTTTTTAAGGTAATTTCAATTTTAGTGAAAACTATAATCACTTTTTAAGCTAATTTGAACTTCAATGAAACCTTTCATATTTCATATCTATATGTTTATACCTCTCATGAATGCTATGAATGACAAAGTTCTCAAAGCACATATGCAAGTATAATAAAGAGCAATAGTAATAGTAATCTAAATGAACTTGTGCAATAAAAACATAAAAAGAACTTACTCAGGTGTGTAGACATACGCAGCCTGAAATACTCCTGAGATAATGCCACGAGCCACAAACAGGATGAAAGTGAGCCATGTACGACTGGAAGAAAATTTTCATGTAAGATATCTTACACCAAAAATAAACAAGACAAATTCAAAAAGATGGTTATATTCAGCTTACAATTCAATGATCCTAAATATAGTCTAAAATCCGACTTTAACAGCACTATTATTTCATTTCGCAATATAATATATAATTTAACATCTGTTCAACAATTTTAAGTTTTACGTTATAATTTTTTCGCTTCACAGTATAACACATAAGTTAAAAATCTATATAAGAACTTACTTGGACGTGCAAATGAAAAGGAAGATGATGGAGACCACAAAGATTATGAACTCCAGTGCCATCGTCTTCTTTCTTCCGAGCTTCTCAATAAAAGGATTGTGAAAAATATTCCTGGAAGAAGGAAGTACATTATAGGTCACCTATTATACATTAAACAAAAGAATGGATAGATGAATAAATAAAAAAAGGAAATGGATTAGCTGAAAAACTTCAAGTAATTTTGATACTATGCCTACAGAGATATTACCTGGGAATTCAGCAAGGGTTGTCCAAAGTAAATCTAGGTAGTCTTCTGAGCTCAGGGGACGGCAATCAGCGGAGCATGTGTATATGCCTTCTGTGCCTGATAGTGAACACAAATTGCCTTTAGCCTCAAAGAGTTCTGTGGTCATAAGTACCACCCATAGTAACAGAAGGCACAGGAAGTCCTGTAAATAAAGATTTCCGTGATCACTCTTCCACATCCAGCATAAGTAAAGAAGAGGGGGTATACAATGCAAAATTATATTGGCACACTATGATTTATAACAGCAAAAACAGTACACACTTTTTGAATCTTAAGAATTTTTGCTTTACTTCAAATACCAAATAAAATATGCTACATCTATTATTTCTGATGAAACAAACTCTGGGGCATATGCAGGGAAATCCCCAGTTCCATGCCTATTTCTTACAAGTGAACAAAATTCAACGTAAGCAACTGGCTGCTGTGTCATCAAACATAGCTCTTCTATCTATAAGACTTTTAACAAGACATCTTAACATCTAACAACATGTCAATAAAACTAACCAAATGAACCACAAAAGGAGTGTTGTCCACTTGAGGTCAGGCACTAACAGATCCATTAATCGACCGCGGTTAATCTGAGCAACATCGTCAACAATCAGCCGACCAAGCAACATGGGTTTTCCTGGAACATTTAAAGTATTTGATGCATGTTTCGATATTTGTGTTTTTCATCATTTAGGTTGCTATTTACCATAACACTTTCCTTATTATAAAGTCATCCTTGTTTTTTCCTGTCTCTCTCATTCTTATAAAATGACTATAGCTGATGTCTAACCACAGTAAATATCAATGCAAGTGTTGTTTTACTAAACACTAAACTCCAGTGGATGGGATTACCATACCATTTTCATCTGCAATTTTCTGCAGCGTGGCCAGAGCCTTCTCAGATTCTCCAGATGCTGCATCATATCTTGCACTTTCTGGGAGCCACTATAAAATAAGACCAAAATGCATGTTTACATATTTACAGAGAGGATATGACTTCTAACAAAAATGTACTATAATTCTACATGACTGTTGAAATACAGTTTGGATAATTACAATCACCTATCAAGAAAGGGGGGAAAGAAAGATGATCAATGAATGAGAGTAGGAAAGAAATAAATTATAAAAGAGAAAAAGAAAGAAATTAATTAGAAAGAAGTGCAAACGAAAGTGATAGAAGAAAGAAACAAGAAATAAATGAGAGAATAAAAAGGAAAAGAAAAGAATAAACCCTGTCCCTGATTTATACTTACGTGTGAGACAAGAGCAAACAGAATCAGGGGATGGTGGAGAGTGCCAGCAGTCCTGTCCACCCATGGTCCATCACCCACAGTGCAAGTATGACCTCGGCACATGCACCAACTGCCCAGAAACACTGAAAACCAAAAGGAAATTAGGAATAAAGATGAATGACCTGGGTTATTCTCACCTACATAATGCACTTTGTAATCTTATCTAAATCTATCCCATTTTCCTGCTCACATATTTCTAGTTATAATAATTACTGGCTGAAAGGTTTATCATGGAAAAGAACGACCTAAACAAATGAAATTACTGTATAGCATTAGAGGACAAGCAAGGCTTGTGTTTTGTCATCATCAACAGGATGTCATAAGATGTATTTTTAACAGAATATACAATTGGATTTATAAACATATATGGTGAAGTACATTACTGACCAAAGTGTTAAAGTGTAAGAATGACTGAATTCATGAAAAGAATTTAACATTTAAATGAAATCAACCACAGAACTATGGCAATTTACTAAAAATAGAATATAGTATATTTTTTTAGCTAGAATATTCCAAAGCTAAAGAATTTATTCAAAATGTTTGTCATTTTTGTTTACTCATATACATTATAAACATATTCTTGTAAACATAAAAAAATAAATAAATAAATAAATAAAATAAAAATACACTGATTGTCATGAACTCTTAAGTGAAACATGAAACAAAAGCAAAACTCACATCAACAGACACAAACACTTTCCACGCTGGTGAGCTGGCAAGAATTCTGCATACAAGGTAACCTGCAAACAACACACATCAGATACTAAATCAGGCATTTTACTCAAAACAATACAACAGTAAGGCTATACCAGACAAGTTACAACAGTAAGGCTATACCAGACAAGTAAAGATAAAAAGGAAAGAGAAAGAAAGAAAGAAAGAAAGAAAGAAAGAAGAAAGGAAGAAAGAAGAAGAAAAGAAGAAAAAATGAAAACCATTTTAGAAGCTAATAAACTCACAAGGATGGCAAAAACAATTCATAAGACCAAGACAAACAAACAAAAAACAATATAATATCTACTATACGAACAACCACGCAATCTAATACTTACGACTGTGGAATACAACCGATTGCAAAGCCAACGAGGCCTCTGAGAAGCACGATCCAGTTGTACGTTGGTGCAAAGGCGGAGAGCAAGCCCCAGTAAGCAAGCATGACGGCTGCTAGTCTTAGAGATCGCTTTCTGCCGTATTTGTCTGAGAGATTACCCAGAATGCCGAGCTGATCATCATTCTCTTGTTGGGACGAAACATTGAAAATCAAATATCAGATTTAAGAATTTAAAAGGTAATATTCTATGGTTTGTTTTTTAACACCTATTAATGAGAGTAAAAAGAGTTGAATGTAAATTAACCTTTAATGTCCGTAAATAATTTCTATTCGATAGAAACTGAAAATAATAAGAGAGGAGATCAAAGTAAAATCCGAAGATCTTGCAACCTAATAAATAATCATTCAAATAACATGAGTACTATAAAAGGAAAGAAAGAAAGAAGAAAGGAAGAAAAAAAAAAAAAAAAAAAAAAAAAAAAAAAAAAAAAAAACATCATCAGAAAACCAAAAATATGAAATAGAAAAGAAAGAAAAAAAAAAAAAAAAAAGAAAGAAAAAAGAAAGAGAGAGAGAGAGAGAGAGAGAGAAAAAAAAAAACTCCCCATTAAACCAGAGAGATTAAAAAAAAGCGAACTAACCAATGAAAACTGAGGTAGTTAAGAATGCCTGCTTCCACTCCGACAGATGCCAGTCACAGTGAAGGGCGGGCTGAGAAAATAGCGAGAATCATCATTTCCATCGAGTCTGCCATCCAACACAAGCCAGTGATCAGGGAGAGCTTAACCTGAAGAGCAAATATATAAATAACAAATGAAGTAATAGTGAAGTAAAGTAGAATAGAATAAAACGAAGTAAAATAGAATAAATAAAATAAAGAGTAAAAGAAAAGAATAGAAACAAAAATCTTGATAATTACAATCAATGAGGACATTGCCAAAAGCAACTTCTTTACCATACATATCCTCTACCTATTTTTTTCCAATATAATCAATTACTATATAAAGAAAAGGCCTTACCTGGAATTTGCCGAACCCCAGAGCATTCACAGCTTGGTCAACAGTAAATGTATCTGAAATATTCAAAGATAAATAAATCCAAGTTTTTTTACATTTTCATTGGAGTCATGTAATTCGACAAAGCAAAATATTCACAAATCCACTGACCTTATATCTAACAGAAAACAGTACCCAATATTAACAGCATACCAAATATAAACATACATTTCAATACATGCGAAAATAACAACATGAAGCCATATGGAGAAGAACAGATCGTGGAAGGACTCAGGTAAGGGGCCACAAAATGTTTGTGAAGAGATCTGTAGTTAAAGGCTATGAAAATCAGCATTATCTATGGTAAAGCAGTAGAGAAAATTATGAAATACATGTGATTATAGATGTAGATACTCTTTCAAGATCACTGTAATATGTCATGGTGTTATTATCTGATTTGTCAAAAGTAGTCATAAACCAGTTTAGAGAGGTGAAAAGCAGGGGAAAAGGGTAAAAAGAAAATAAAAAAGAAAAAAGAAAAGAAAAAAGAAAAGAAAAGAAAAAACAGAAAGAAAGGAAAGAAAAAAGAGAGAAAAAGAAAGAAAAACAAAACAAAACAAACAAAAAAACAAAAAACAAGAAGAGCTGATCAAACTTCTTAAAAACACCCTATCACATGAAATAAAAGCAAAACATAGCTTACCATCTGGGACCACTCCTGATACTGCCGCAGACATCTCAATATGTGCTCCAGGGTCCAGGAGGAGGGAGTGGACCCTGAGGGGAGCTGGAGGAACCCCGAG